ATTTTTTTATTCAAACGAGTTTACTCCCCCTAACGTAAGTACATGTAAAGAGGGATTTCCTATAGATCTGTAATGAATTAGGCCTTTTTGACTATGACTTGTTGCCCAGGGGTTGACATGATACGCTTTTTTTGAGATACATGAATGAATGTATGTGTTTGTTAGGGGTTATATTATGGACATTATTCGCTGACAAGTGATTTCCAGGCATCTCTGTCATGGGCTATTCTCTACAAATGCCAGAGGAGTATCCAATCTTTTTGGTGTCTTCTGCCAGGTCAAATCTCGAGGTCTATCTTGGTCTGCCTCTTTTTCGTTTGCCATGTGGATTCCAGGTGAGGTCCTCCACCAGTTTTAGTCACCTTGGCATGAGGCAATAGATTAGTCTGTACTAGACCCTGACACCTCTGTTTTTCCAGAACGTGAGTCAGGTGACACTTACTGCCAGGTGGAATATTGGACTTTAAAGACTCGCTGGATCATAACTCGAGAGTTTCGGTCTAAACCCAACAAATCGGTCCTTATCTTAAATTATGTCCCTCAAATTAGGGGAGCCAAAAATATAGATAAATTCTAAAATTTCATGCCGTCTAATTTGAGAGGAAAGATTTTGACTTGTTTTAATAGGACTTAAGACAATGCTATTGTTTTTCATATTATTTTTCAGTAATCTTTGATTTAAGAATACTATTTTGATACATTTTGATCATTCACGTAAATGTTTAATTTATTATTTTGTATATTTATTTACGCGTTTTATTATATATTTTTTTTGCACCTCTATTTTATTTTTTATTTGTTATTTTAGCGATTCGATTCTAAGTTACATCCCTTGAGTAGTTTACAAATGGGAGATCATCCATATGAGATTCATCCTCGACAAACTAACCTCGTTTTTTAATGTTAAATCTACGTTTAATGCAGTAGCGAAGCGGGGGGGGGGGGGGGGGGGGGGCGGGGGGCGGGAGGGGGACATATTTCCCCGGGCGCCGACCTTAGGGGGCGCCAAAATGGGTTGGAAAATGGGTCGCTACGCCTCTGGTTTAATGATCCTTTTAAAATATATTTAGGGTCATGTTATAAAACAAGTACAATTTGAAATTCAATAAGGTAGATATTTGTGGGCAATAAGTTAGATATTTTTTTCTTTAATAATTAAATGTTGTTTTATAACATGTTTTTGTATACGCAATACACATCAGTTCATTTTCTATCCGTTTGTTAGACTCTCAAGTTTGGCCTGTACGTCTTGTAATATAAGCTTCCCTACAATGTTGGTCCTTACCTTAATGCTCACGGCTTGCGAAGCCAATTTGAAATGCAAATTACAAAATATAAACATTATTAAACTATTTTTTTTAAAGACAGACTGTATCTATATCTACTTATTCTTCTTGTTTAAAAAAAAACATGTATATTTAAATATAAAAAGTACATTGTTGTGCATGTGAGAGGGTTGAACCACTTGATCAACTACCATGTGAGGATACAAATACCATATACAAGCCACGTGAAAACCTAGTTTTAAAAAAAGATCGATAGTGCAGATGAAGTAGAGTTATTTCTTGACCTCGGTATATGAATGGTGGTCAGCACTCAGCACTATGCCCAGCCTCCTTTACTTTCCCCAAAGTGAGTCGGTTACCGATCAGAGCTGGGTGGACTCTACCTTTCGACCAGGCCGTCACGATATAACATATACTGTTGTGTTGGCCATCTTTTATTAGCAACAGTGAAAACAGAGCGCATGGTACATTATATATGTCTACATAATTTGACCCTTACAATAACAGTATCAACATCATCCTTTCCCGTTTGTGCCCAAGACACATTGGTCAGATGAAGTAGAGTCCATATGTTTCAATGACCTCGCTATACAATGGAATAATATGGTCAGCACTATACCCTTCCGTCTTTTTTCCCTAACGTCAGCTGTGTACTCATCAGAGTTGGATGGACAGCTCCCCTTTAGTACCTAAAGCCTTATGGATCAGAAGCAGTAGAGTTGTTTGATGACCTCGGTATATGAATGGTGGTCAGCACTTTGCCCAGCCGCCTTTACTTTGCAAAAATTGATTCAGTTACTCATCAGAGGTGGGTGGACTCAGGGACGTTCTACTAACTTGACCCTGTTATCGAACTCGAGACTTTTGGGTAAGCAGCCTAGCGCTACCGCAAGGCCAAGCCGTCGCACGGGTCCAAATTGTACAGGCCACGAAAAAACGTTAAACTGATATGTTTTCATATGAAGCTGACCAAAATACCACATTAAAATACCACACGACCTCTTTGTATTGGTCACGTGACAAGACTTTCTGGCCACACGACCACGTTATACTGGCCACACGACCACGTTATACTGGCCACACGATCACGTTATACTGGCCACACGACCACGTTATACTGGCCACACGACCACGTTATACTGGCCACACTACCACGTTATACTGGCCACACGACCACGTTATACTGGCCACACGACCACCTTATATTGGCCACACGACCACGGTATACTGGCCACACAACCACGGTATACTGGCCACACGACCACCTTATACTGGCCACACGACCACGGTATACTGGCCACACGACCACGGTATACTGGCCACACGACCACGTTATACTGGCCACACGACCACGTTAAACTGGCCACACGACCACGTTATACTGGCCACACGACCACGTTATACTGGCCACACGACCACGGTATACTGGCCACACGACCACGGTATACTGGCCACATGATCACGGTATACTGGCCACACGACCACGGTATACTGGCCACACGACCACGGTATACTGGCCACACGACCACGTTATACTGGCCACACTACCACATTATACTGGCCACACGACCACGGTATACTGGCCACACGATATACTGGCCACACGACCACGATATACTGGCCACACGACCACGTTATACTGGCCACACGACCACGGTATACTGGCCACACGATATACTGGCCACACGAACACGGTATACTGGCCACACGACTACGTTATAATGGCCACACGACCACGTTATACTGTCCATACGACCACGGTATACTGGCCACACGACCACGTTATACTGGCCACACGACCACGTTATACTGGCCACACGACCACGTTATACTGGCCATACGACCACGGTATACTGGCCACACGACTACGTTATACTGGCCACACGACCACGTTATACTGGCCACACGACCACGGTATACTGGCCACACGACCACGGTATACTGGCCACACGACTACGTTATACTGGCCACACGACCACGTTATACTGTCCACACGACCACGGTATACTGGCCACACGACCACGTTATACTGGCCACACGACCACGTTATACTGGCCACACGACCACGTTATACTGGCCATACGACCACGGTATACTGGCCACACGACTACGTTATACTGGCCACACGACCACGTTATACTGGCCACACGACCACGGTATACTGGCCACACGACCACGGTATACTGGCTACACGACCACGGTATACTGGCGACACGACCACGGTATACTGGCCACACGACCGCGGTATACTGGCCACACGACCGCGGTATACTGGCCACACGACCACGGTATACTGGCCACACGGCCACGGTATACTGGCCACACGACCACGGTATACTGGCCACACGACCACGGTATACTGGCCACACGACCACGGTATACTGGCCACACGACCACGGTATACTGGCCACACGATCACGGTATACTGGCCACACGACCACGGTATACTGGCCACATGATCACGGTATACTGGCCACACGACCACGGTATACTGGCCACATGATCACGGTATACTGGCCACACGACCACGGTATACTGGCCACACGACCACGTAATACTGGCCACACTACCACATTATACTTGCCACACGACCGCGGTATACTGGCCACACGATATACTGGCCACACGACCACGTTATACTGGCCACACGACCACGTTATACTGGCCACACGACCACGTTATACTGGCCACACGACCACGTTATACTGGCCACACTACCACATTTTACTGGCCACACGACCACGGTATACTGGCCACACGATATACTGGCCACACGACCACGTTATACTGGCCACACGACCACGGTATACTGACCACATGACCACGGTATACTGACCACACGATCACGGTATACAGACCACACGACGACGGTATACTGGCCACACGATCACGGTATACAGACCACACGACGACGGTATACTGGCCACACGACCACGGTATACTGGCCACACGACCACTGTATACTGGCCACACGACCACGTTATACTGGCCACACGACCACGGTATACTGGCCACACGACCACGTTATACTGGCCACACGACCACGTTATACTGGCCACACGACCATATTTTTCTAGCGACACGACAACATTATATTTGTCGCATGACCAAAATTATACCTCCCACATTACTCACGTGGTGATTAGTGTTAGGGTTAGGGTTAAAGCTTACGTGACCTTTCACTCACGTGGTGATTAGTGTTAGGGTTAGGGTTAAAGCTTACGTGACCTTTCACTCACGTGGTGATTAGTGTTAGTGTTAGGGTTAAAGCTTACGTGACCTTTCACTCACGTGGTGATTAGTGTTAGGATTAGGGTTAAAGCTTACGTGACCTTTCACTCACTTGGTGATTAGTGTTAGGGTTAGGGTTAAAGCTTACGTGACCTTTCACTCACGTTCTACTTGCCAAATGATCACAATCAACTGACCGTTTGACCAAATTAAAAAGACTAGATTCTTACGTGATTCTCACCAAAACGACCTCTATATTAAAGCCTTATAACAACATTGTACTGGCGATATTGAACGGTCCACCTTACATTGATCGATGTTAGAGTAACTGAACATATCGATCGGGTTTTACCTAATCGAACATAGTTACCTATTTATCAAGTAAGAACATACGGCTATTATGTTAAAAGTAAGTTTTAACACAACATTTTTAATTTATTGAAATAAAAAATAAATAAAAAATAACAATGTAATTGATTTTGAATTTTGAAAAAAACCCGCTTTATTACCAAGTTAACCATATAAACCTAGAATAAGTGTTATTTACTTTAACGCATCATTCCAAAAATATTCCATCCTCCATAATTGAAAGCATTGAATGGTAGGATAGGGCTGAGTTGATGTGTCAGATTAAATCATCACTTAGAGACTATTCCACAACTCCATGGACGAAACACCGGGTTGCAGTGCCACTGTCTGAAAAATTGTTTTAAAATAAGCAGTGTTTCTACCAGGTATCTCTTCTTCGGGATGGGGAGGAGGGGAATAACCCCCCCCCCCCCCCTGAAGAAAGTCTACATGCCCCCATAAGAAAGAAATGTTATTTATATCGAAAATATACACTTTTAAAATAGTGCCCCCGCCTCACTATTCCCCCCCGGATATTTTAGTCCGCCCCCCCCCTCAAAATGGTAAGTGTCTTTCCTCCTCCTCCCTCCCCCCCCCCCCCAGGAGAAGTGTTGAAGAAACACTGGTTGTAAGTTTCAACGACAAATTTTAGCAGGAGTGCAGTCACGTAGTCTACAGAAGAAAAAAAATTTACTTACAGACAATCTATCCAATCGTCGTCACGCCATCGCCGAATTGAATCTCCTGGTGTGAAGAAAAGTAAACATAGTAAAAAGCATTAAACTTAATCTCGAACGTTGTCATTCATCTAATACTACTAAAAATCAAGTTTGTTTACATGTTTGAATATTTATTTGTTTGTTTGTTTGTTTGGCTGATTGACTATTGTGATATGTTCTACTCTATCTGGAGAGCTGTAAAATAGTATGTAGGTAGAGAATAATTTTTTAATGCAGACAGACTGTTAATCACACATTTATTTAAAGACGTTAATTAATTTATTGATTTATTCATACGCAGAGTAACCCTATTTTTTTAAAAAGATTAGAACGACCACTACACTCGGCGGGACCGTGACGTCACAGTTTTTTGTTTACTCTTTAGTACAATAAATTGGCGGCGTCTATCGAAGAAAATTGTGTTCCCATTCAAAAGTTTAACGCGTTCTAAATCTAATTTTCAGTCGGTCATAACTTTAACAATACGTCCGTTTGCGGTATTTATTACGTTCCAACACTTATATCAATTTCAACTGTCTTTTTTCATTTAGTTTTACAATAAATTTCTCTAGATCTAAAGATCAGCTGTCGAAGGAAAGTTCTGAATCTAGCCTAGATTCTAGATTCTAGATCTAGATCTAGCCTAGATCTAGGTCACTCTAGACTCAATGTAAATTCTAGATCTAGACTTAATGTAAATTCTACATCTAGAATCTATTTCAGGCCTTAATTATTTTATATAAATCTTTGTTTAGCTTCAATGATCATCTAATTCGAGAATACATGGGATTTTTTTTATCTAGGTTCTATATCTAGATAAAGTAGGATTACTCACTAACTTGGAGGCGTGGTCGGCTGCTAACAACAACATGGCGTCCGGACCGGACGCATGACTTCCGACCATTTTTAGGCCATGTTTACCACGAGCAAAATGGCGGGTGTTCACATTATTTAAACATGGTATAGGTGGCCAGGGCTAGATATGCCAGAAAAGCATTTTAAAATTTGCTTTGGAGAATGAATGCTAAATTTTAAAGTCAGTGTCATAAAAATTAATAGAACTTTTTTTTTTACGTTTTCAATTATTTTTTCTTAAGCCCTATATGTGAATGATAAGGTTGACTATCAGGACCTCGCGGGGCACAGGGCAGGTGAAGTAGGGTTCATCTGTTTCTTTGTCCTAAGCATATGAAGGGATAGTGTGGTCAGAGACATGCTCGGCTGGAATCGTTTTTTAAACGATAAAAACATGTTGTCTGAGACTTGGCGGGACACTGGGCAGGTGAAGTAGAGTTGAGTAGGTCACCTGTGACGTCAGTATATGAAGGGATAGTCCGAAATCGGTGTTTTTAAAAGATTAAAAACATATTTTTGAATGTGGGGTCTGTTTTTTGTGACGATAAGCGACACTGCAGTAGCGTAGCGAGGAGGGGGGGGGGGACATATGTCCCCGGGCGCCGACCTTAGGGGGCGCAAAAATGGGTTGGAAAAATAAATTGAAAGGTTGAGGGGTGCAAATTGAAAGTTTGAGTGTGTGGGGGGGGGGGTGTTCAAATCGAAATCTTGAGGGGGGGTGCACATCAAAAGTTTGGGGGGGGGGGGGGTTGCAAATCGAAATCCTGCGGGGGGGGGGGGGGGGTTCAAATCGAAAAGTTTGTCCCCGGGCGCCGGGAAGGGTTGCTATGCCTCTGAGTGACAGACGTGATGTTTTTTGATGGATGACCCCCGAAACCCACAGTTATCCAACGGATGACGGGTAGTCTAGTTAAGTTATATTATCTTACAGTCCATAATTATATTAAGCAAGTCGTTGGTGTGCCAGTGGTTTGTCTATGAATTACGTCATTTAACTTTATTAGACTGCGGAAGGGGGGGGGGCAGTGGTTTAGAAATATAACACCACTCTCATTCATATTTTTAATAGACGTATTTTTTAAAAATCTGAAACTGTTAGTTTTTTATCTTTTGTTTTTGTTGTTGTATTTAGATTACTTTTTAAATGTTGTATTCATATATATATATATATATATATATATATATATATATATATATATATATATATATATATATATATATGTTACGGTCAAAGCCCGAAGTGCGGCCAAAGCGCGGATTGGCCGGCCAATCCGCGCATTGGCCGGCTCTCTTGGCCAAAGCCCGAAGAACTTAGCACTAAGATCGTATTTCGTACATTGGCCGGCCAATGCGCGCACTGGCCGTGACGTACTGGCCAAAGTCCGAAGCGCTTAAACTTAACAGCGTATTTTGTACATTGGCCGGCCAATGCGCGCACTGGCCGGGATGTCCTGGCCAATGTTCTATCTAGACTAAGTTGTGATCGCATTTTATTATTCTGGGTGCGTTTTCATTGAAAGTAACGTATTGTTTAGCTCTTGTTTGTATAGCATTCTATATGCAAGGCGAAATGGATCAAAACTGCCGTAAGACCATGAGACAGACATAGCAAATGGCTGTCAAAAGAAACAAAAATTAAATCCATGTTAGTTTCCATATATGGGCTCTCGATAAAATAGTTACTGAGGAAAATCTTAAGAACATTGAACAAGAAATGGAGGTTGCCATAAATGCAACGACATCCTCAGCTAACACATCTGCTGTCGTGGCGGAACGCCAAGACCAGTTGCGTGACAATAATGTGGCAACAGATTCTGTATATTTTGTGAAAAACATTGTAGTGCAGCTCATTGTTTTGGATCCTGTGGCAACGATGACCATGCTATTTGTGGAATACCCAATGAAGCAGACGAAGGGTACGGAGGGAACATTACCTGCAGATTGTGTCACAACAAACAAGATATCATGGAACACAGATCAGCAGCTCATACTGGCTTGCAAACTCAAGGTGCTAAGATGCTTAAAACATCAAATACAAAATTTAAAGATGGTGAAGTGGGTGACAATGTACGCATCCGTTTTTCAGATGTTGACAGAGGTCACGGTGATCCCCGAAGCGTGATTGCAGTTGTCATGAGCGTCGAGGGCGGTTTCTACAAATTAGTAACGGAACATGGTGTCCTAAAACAACTGTATGCTAGAAGTGAGTTTTCAATTCTTCACGAAAAACTGCTCTTATTGTCGTCAGTTGGCATTGAGGAAAATTCACTACGAACCATCGCATCTTCACAATCATTGACTGGGGGCCAAGGCTACACTTGCTGCAATTGCACAACTAAGTGCACAACAAATCGCTGCAAGTGTAAAAATAACAAGCTGCTATATAATTCTAAATGCCATAAAAGTTCAACTTGTTGTAACAAATGATGATATTGATAGATTGAGACTATAGTACAATATTTTTTTTTGAATGTTTCTGTCATTTACTTTAATTAAAAATCAATAAAGACTTAATTTCATGATCCTTACGGCATAAAAAAAAACCAAAATCTGCTCATGATCTTCTAATTCGGACTTTGGCCGGTCGTCCCTAGCCAGATGATCTTCTAATTAAGACTTTGGCCGGTCCACCATGGCCAGTCTGCGGATTGGCCGGCCAAAGGCCGAAATCAAGCAAAGTTTCGGACTTTGACCGACCTATGGGAGGCGATATTGGCCATTGCGCGGATTGGCCGGCCAATCCTAGCATTGGCCGACTTCGGGCTTTGACCGTAACATATATATATATATATATATTGCATACTATTGAAATATCAATGCTTTTTCCTGCAATGAATTTTCCAAAGAGAAGTACTGAATGCCTCGTGTAAAATTACAAAACTTACCTCTTTCAAACAGAAGAAGGACCATAATGACCAAAACTGTGATGACCACAACAGCAGTTGGACCTGTTGATTGTTCTAGTGAAGTGTACTGGAGTCGTGTCCGATCTCCTCTCAAATGGTAATGTAGGCGAGTAATTAGTAATTTAATTAAAATTGATTAAAACGCTTTATACATTTTTAGGATTAGACGGTGTAGGCCTACTGGGAGTTTTGTACTAGCTACATTTTATTGGCGGCATCGTAGTGGGCCATTTTCAATTAGCTTGGCCCTTAACTAACGGCCACATTGATTTGGCCACATTGTCTGATGTGTAACACCGTATTGTTCTGGCTATATTTTATTTGCTACTGTATAACGGCCCAATTGATCTGGCCACATTGTATTTTCCGATGTGTAACACCGTATTGTTCTGGCTATATTTTATTTGCTACAGTATAACGGCCCAATTGATCTGGCCACATCGGAATAAAATGTATATAGCAAATATGTACTTTTACCGGTGTCTGCCCCACTTCCCCGGAAACTTTAAATCCCCCCCCCCCCCCCCGAAAATTTCAAGTGCCCCCCCCCCTGAGAAAAGTCTTGAAGACGCACTGGTATTGTTCGATGTATAACCACCCGATTGATCTCTCCATAATGTATTAACAACTGTATAACGGCTATATAGTACGGGCCTTATTGTATAGGCTATTGGATATCGGCCGTATTGTACTGGCTATATCGTATTGGCAACTGTATAATGACCGCATTGTACTAGCCATATTGTATTCACAGCTGTATAACGATCGTATGGTACTGGCTATATTGTATTGACAACTGTATAACGGCTGTATTGTACTGGCTATATTGTATTGACAACTGTCTAACGGCTGTATTGTACTTGCCATATTGTATTGACAACTGTATAACGGTCGCATTGTACTTGCCATATTGTACTGGCCACTGTACATATTTTACTGTACATATTTTACTGTACATATTTTACACATTAAGTTGGCCACAAGGTATAGGCAACAATTTACTTCCTAAATTGTTTTTCTAACACGTGTATTCAATGTTTTCTTCTTAGTATCTAGGTTTCACTGATATCATTATCAAAGGTCTCCTGGCTGCTTGTACCTTATTTGTTTTGTGTTCCTATTGATGGGGGTTTAAACAGAGCACACTGAAGCTGCTGAAAAATACATTGTTGCAAGCATCAGAGGCGTAGTTAGGGGAAGGTGTGTTTTTTTTTTTCAAAATGTATCTTTGCAGATTAAAAGTGCCTTGTTAAAATGTATTTTGAATCCGTCCCTTTGCTACATATCACCATGCATTTTAAGTTACATATGCATTATTTGTCATCGTTATTTTATGAGCCGATGTAAGAACATTTAATATCTTCGCATCGTTAGTTAGTTGATTAAACGGTGTTAAATTTCATTTATCAATAGTTTTCTTAGTTGGTTTATTATTATTATTATTGTTAACATGCATCATTCCATCCTATCCCCTGATGGTCTGTTTTAGCCTGCTTCAACAACTTCCACTCTGTATCTTCTTCTTCCGTGTCTTTATACTAAGCTGCAGTAGGTCAGTTTCCGCATCATCTATCCATATAGGCTACAGGACATTACCCCACGGACATCCCCCCCACCGTATTTAACCCCCGGAGCAATTACCCCCTATCAATTACCCCCACCTGAAAATTACCCCCCTGGGGAATTATCCCCCCCCCCCCAACCCTAACCCCTCATCCACCAAGATAGAATACTGATTCTAACTTCAACTCTATACCTATGTATTACCTTAAAACTAAACTTAAAAGTGTAATTTTTTTTATGAGTTTTGAAAATGAAGTAATAGTACTATTACTATTTGTACAAAATCTGGAGAGGCGCTAGTAGACACCATAGGACTTGCACGCGGCTCGTGAGGCGCAGGTTTCCTACCCCTGGGTTAAATACCGTTACATTAAATTTAACATGGATGCCCCATCATTAGGTTTTTAGACATATTAAACAGTGCCAAAGATTGAGTAGAGATAATAGAAATATTTCTTACTTGAATAAAATAATGTTTAAATATAGCTAATGTCTTCAATTTTTTAAATAAAATAAAATTTTAAGTAAATATCAAGTAATGTTTTAACATTTACATAACAAATATTAGCAGTAAGTTATTAATATAATGCAAATCAATTGAAAATTGTGTATTTTGTTAATTTGCCCGTATTAGCTAAGCTAGTTTAATTTAGCCTTTTTCTTAATAGTTCTCTCCCTTGAATTACTTTCTCTTTAAATATATTACAAAACGGGTGATAATTCAATTAAATTCTACATTCTTATAAAATTCCTTCATCTTAGAATATTAGATACATCGCTTACTTACATATTAAACTTTAAAACTGGAGATAGGCCTACATCAGCTTTTTGCTATTGTAAAAGAGTAGCAGTAGCATAACAGCTTTGATTAAAAGTCGTTAATATAATATAGTGTCGACCTCCTTCTATAAAAAGTAAGTGACCCCTGTAGAATTAAAAAGTCGAAATTAGTCAGGAAATTAATAAACACCAAAATACGATTTTCTAGTAGACCTTAAAACAAACAAAAAATTAATAACTGTTTTAATGCGATTTGTGAAATAGCATGCTATTAACTAACCTAAACATTCGAGTTAGAGATTAGTTAACGACAACCTCATGTCATTCTTAACATTTAAGTTCGTGTTTACATTTTAAAAATTCATTATGGAATCAAGTCCATCAGGCCAAAATTCACTCAAGCGATTTTGTGCTGAAATAGCACACGTTTTGCTTGATAAGTGAATGGATAATTAAGATTCACATGAAGGAACATCAGTTTTATCATCTGATGTAGATTGTACTTATTCATGCGTTATGCGCTATGCTTGATGAGTGGAACAATAATTTAGATTCAGATGAAGAAACATCGGGTTTATCATCTGATGTAGAGTGTAATTATTCATCAAGCCGTGAGAGTGATAGATATAGATGTAGTGGTGATACTGATAGTGATTGTGATAACAACACAGGTGGGTGTGGCACACCCTATGCAGGGAAGGGTAAGGGACCAATGCCTAAAACAAGGAAAGCGGGTGCTAATGCTGCTAGTACTAATACTAATGTAACAGGACAGGATGAGCCTGTAACTGTCAGTGGTCCAGCTACTACCACTAGTACTACTAATTTTATTTGGGCAGAAGTACGTGAAGGTACAACACAAATCAACTTTCGTTTTGTTCGCCACAAAATAACATCCGACTCTACTGAGCTAGATTGCCTGCTCACTTTATTGAATGACCAGATCATTGAGCTATTATTAGCTAATATCAATGAGTATGCTAGGGGGGAATTAGTGTTTCCTCAGCTCAGGTATTCAGTCTACTATACATTTCAACCAGTAATGAGACCAGAGTTGTTAAAATGTTTTGCTATTTTAATGGGTGTTGGCCTCAACCCTAGGCCCTCAATGATATCGTGGGAACAGGTAGATGGTGCATTTTGTTATTTAGATTTTAACGAAGTTTTTATATAAACTCCGCTTCTACGAACCTTCTTTAAGCTTTGATATTTTAGCATTTATGACAATAATATATTAAATTCTAAATGTAAACAAAGTTGTTGGTAAAAACAAATTGTATTAAGCAATAATACGTATTTTTACACAATATACTAAATAAACAACTGATGTGGTTGAATTTGAAAATGACAATTAAATGTGTAGACTGTTACAGATCTAAATTAATAGTGTAATTATTTCCCCAACAATCACAACAATACCAACACAGTTAGCTGAGTCCGCTGACGTTTTAAAACTTCCCCTCCCCCTCCCGTCCCCAGTAATTTTGGATCTAAAATAGTAAGTAATGCAAATTAATTAGATTGATCAACCCAACGGAAATATATATTCAACACGTGGACGCTTATATAATACATGTAGATTAGAATCCATAACAAAAAAATAAAAAATTAAATAATTATTACATTATATTGCAAAATATGTACACTGTACAACTATAACAAAATTCAGTAAAGAACGAAGAATTTCGCAATGAATTATCACCAATTTGTAAATCCTTTAAAGTAAAATGTAACTCATGGGAGATAACTATTAAGTGAAAATCTATGAAAAAAAACCTTGTCAAACTAAGACATGATAAATAACATACAACGGCATAAATTTTCTTACATAATAAAAAAATGTAAATGTGACTATTAGGTATGCGATCTTTTAAAAACAATAAACTTAGCTTATTGACTACTAAAGAAAGTAAGTTAAATAAAACTGTATACACCATAGATTTATTTATATTTTGTTTTTATTCAATTTAGAAATATTTTTAGTAATCATAGGTACCAGTGTTCGTAGTGGCAATTTTTGGCTCCTGTATATGGGACATCATTTTAAAAACAATGTGAAGGCGCTAACCCATTAGTTACAGGTTCGAATCCCGTCTCACGTTATGTAAACACGAGTGTGCATAGCACCGATCTAAACATGGCCCCATATGTGGAGGTGACATCCACAGGTAAACTCCACTTCATCTTTCACCTGACCTATTGGTCTGAAAGGGCGAATTCTCAAGAACACATTTACGTGAACACTTTTAAAAATCAGCGAACGCAATAAATGAAAACAATAAAATAGAGAATCAGATTAGAGAGAAGAAAATAAAATTGGTGAATTTAGTTTCAAGGGTGATTAAGGGTAAATTGTGTTTGTTGTTTTATTGGTTAGGCAAAACCCAAATATCACGTGATACTATTAATTTTTTCACCTCCAAATATGTCGACTGGTCTCAGACACTTTGTTACAGATGTCCATGGTATTTTGTGCGACCATACCTTTACTTCTTTTAGGGATCCAGAAAACAGGACACAATTTCATTTGCAGAAGTCACATTCCGTGCATTTATATTAATTTTTATTATGCTAAATGCACAACGATTGTTTTTACATTGGTCTGAATAATCAAAGAAGTAAAAAATAAAACCTAAGTAGTGTATAACTGTTTCTATCAGCATGGCAAGTATTTTAATTTAATCCTCCACACATCACGAACATATACAGTTTTTTAAAGCT